AGGTTGAGAAACACTGATCTGTGGTGACAGTCCATTTTAAAGGTAAATTATCTGGGTAAGGATAAGGCCCTTGATTCAGATACATACAAAACACTGCAATTCCCCCATTGGATAGTTTCTCAGGGCACTGACCTATGTAATTTTCTTTCCCCATGGATGTGGCATTATTACAAATATTACTTTTCCCTTTTTTAAAATAGCAAGGCAGTTCTATTTGTATTTAATATTGTCCAGTCACACAAGTTTCCTGAGCTCCAGTATGTTTAGGTAAACTCATGGGACGTGTAAAAAAATGGAATTCTTGGCAATGGCAAAAAGTGTTACAACATTCAGGAGAACAAAGGCTGGATGAGAATAACAGAAAGATGGCTGATACCATGGCCCTTTTGGGAGAGCTGATGGCTCTGGTACTGCAAACATGAATTGTACAGCATAGATTAAATACAATGCTAAAAACCAAAATGCAGCTACTGCTTTGGGTGAAGGGATATGAAAGATCAATTTGAACATTTTCTGCCAGGGCCAAACAAACAGGGCTATTTTCAAGAAAGAGGGGGAGGAGAGAGAATGACCTATAAATAAGTTCCATTGAACACAAAGAGTGTATTTCTAAGTAGTTTTGCATACAATTGTACTGTAAAAATCAGAAAGCTAATTTAGTAGATATAGAAATTTAGCAATAAAGCCATCTCTTTCATTTTCTAAGAAATTTCTGATTTTTGCTTCTTGTAACTCCTATAGTCCCATCTGGGGCTCTATAGAAATTAATGGAAATCACTTACATTTCATCATAACCACTAAAACCCTCTGTAGGTTGGCTGCTACACCCATGAGCGTGTATACCTATGCTAGTATTTTGGAATGCTTAATATCAGAAATACACATATTCAGTAAAAAACAGATTTTAAGTTCAAATGTTTTTGCCTGCTTAGCCATTTCCTTAAACAATGTCTTCATCTTGTACTGTAGTTGAATGATCTCAGAGGTAAGACTGAAAAAGATTTCTTCACAGGTAAGCATGCATAGAAGGTCATCCTAGGTTGTCTTCAACATACTTGATGGTAGGTTCATACAAATATGCCCAATCATTTGGGGCTGGTAAATTTATTTAAAATTTCAGATCATCTCATAGGCACACCTTTGTCTTTTAAAAGTGTAGCTGAGAATATTTGTGATTCCGCCATGAAAAATTCCCAACTACATTTAATCTAGTGAAGACAACATTTGAGGGAGGTGTATTAGGTGCCATAAATTACCTAAAAGATCAATATCCTAAAGATGGAGTGACTGTATCCATATGACCCACAGAACTACAAGTTGGCCAATCACATTTTGACTTAAAGTGTTGTGCAAACCCAGCCAGTATAGTTAGCTTATGGTTTGGTGTGTCATGTAAGCTTGACCATTGGATTAACTGAGAAACCATGTGTGAGGTTCATAGAACAAATCAGAGTTTTTACTCAAGACGCAAATGACCAAGCTCAAATTATCATATTTTGGACACATTATGTAAAGACTCAGCTCCCTTAAGAAAGCCATAATGCTGGGACAGGTAGAAGAAAAGAGAAGGGGATGACCAGCAGCAAGATGGATTCGATTAC